GAAATGTATTTCCAACAAACTACAAATATTCATCAACAACTGCCTACTCTGCCTCGTTAGTGAAGATCAGATGACCAGAAAGAATACGCATCGAGGAACTCCGGCAACGAACCAACGAAGCAAGAAGCTATTGGTGAACAAATATGCAGAAGAGGGGATTGGAGATGGATTGGATTAAGCATGCACTGAGAAAGCCATCTGGGGACCTCACGTGCCAGTCCACGTCCTCGAGTGCAACCCAGATGGGAAAGGACGAGTTGGTTGTCCGAGGTGGGAGTGAAACGGAAGAGATGGTATGAGGAAGAAATGAGATCCTGTGGGCATTGGTGGAGCCAGGTTCAAAGGTTGCAGAGAAGAGAGTGTAATGGAGACGTGCTACTGAGTCCCTATTTTTCATCAGGAAGCAAAGAGACAAATATTAAATGATAGTAATTGTTCTCTAGCTTACTTTTAACCTCAGACGTTCACTAATTGAATTCCTTTGAAAATTTACTCAACTTTTGAAGATAAAAAATTTAAGATTTATTTTTATTGATGTGATAATGATGCCTTTTTATTATCAAAAATTGTTCACCCTCCTAGTTATACTACTTAACAGGCAATTATTTATTTTAACGACTTTTGGTTAGAATTCATCATGGAATGATATAAGTTGAAGGAACATTGGAAATTTAGGAGTAATAGATAGCCAGCCGTTTCGTCCTACTGTACAACTCCTCAATAGTGTGCACTCATGACCCCACCTCGTCAGGGATCGAACCTAAGGCCTCCACGTTCTGTGATCAGCACGTTATCACTGAGTCGGAATCTTAGTCGAACATGTCGACAGTTACTCAACGACAACATTGGATGTAGGTCGCACTGTATCGTGAATTGAAAGAAGTAGGAAATGTGGACCATTGGATTCTGACTCACTGCTTCGTTGATAGCGCGCTGGCTACGGAACCTGAAGGGCGTGGGTTTGATCCCTGGTGCACACTGCTGAGGAGTCGCACACTAGAACAAGAGAGCTGTCGAGTGCTCCTAGTTTTCCAATGTTTCTCCTACTCATGTCAATCCATGATGAATTCCAACCTTAAATCAATTTATTGGGTTGAGGGTTGATAATTCGCTTAAGTGGAATGTAGATATGATTACAAATTTATGACAACAGGGAAGAATCGACATAGTTTGAAGTAATACAGACATAGGAAACTTACAACTTACATGTATAAGAGTAAGTTTCGGTAAAATTGTCATGTAAGAAACTCATACTTATACGCCGATTAGATATTGGTTTTTCATCACTGAATCCTAGATGTTTAAATGAAATGAAGGATTCGAATTTTCATTATTTACCATTAGACATTCATGTTAATGATGGATCTTGGCTAGCAGTGGAATCCAGGATGTATATTTTGTCCTATTTGTGACTCACTGGTCAGCTGGATATACTTGCTTCGCAGTGAGTGATGCTGTTCCCACCGGGACTCGGACTCGGGGGCCATCACTTCAAACGCCAGCGCGTCAGCCACTACACCACCGAGCCACTATAACCGCTGACCAGCTGACCAGTGAGTCCCAAATAGGACGAACAGCGCATCCTGGATTCCACTGCTATCCACGATCCATCATTAACATAATTAGAATGGAGATGATATCGAGGCATCCTCACAGGAGCCCATATGCCAATAGAGACTGATCAGTTCGGTCCAATCAACGACTGTATGATATAAAAACAATTATATTAGACACTCAGTTGATCAATTCATTTCAACAGTAGGTAAGTTTCTGAAGCTGCGTAGTGAGAAGACAAACATCGTAATAGTATAACATATTTTGACCGTGTATTTTATAAATCCCTACAGTTTATCAGCGATTAACAGGCAAATTTTATGAAGTTTAAGACATACGAAAGCATTGGTTGTTCACTGAAGGTTAACCAACTTCATGTTGTCCAGCGCTAATTATTGATCAAAGTGGGCTGGAATCTTATGGGGGAAATCATTTCCGACAAGATTGTTAATACACCTTCTTAGTGAGTTCCAGAAGGAATGAAACCTAGGTCCACGACTCTCTTCCGATTAGCTGCATCCATCTAACATCTGTCTCAGTGTACAGAGATGCTGAGTCACCTAGCCTGGTGGTCACATTGGTAAATGACCGACTGAATTCGATTAGAAATTAGGAATGGATAGCAACATGAAGTTGGTTACTCTCCAGTTACCAATCAGTGTACTTATTGGAGTCCTACATAAGGTCAATGATAGTCCGAATATCTCAATGGTAACGGTGCTGACATCAACACCAATTGATATGTGTTTGAATCTTAGACAGTATACCAGTTCCGTTAGGGTTACAAATACATCTTGCTGACATATACCACCATCCAACTAACATGCAAAATACAGTGTTGCACTACAATACCTGTAGTCTACAAATACTGGGAATATTTGTCAACTTCAGATTGGCATTTCCCAACTCCAAATTTCCTGAGAAAAAACAAGAAAAGAAACTTCACTGAAATGAAGATAATATCGTATTAAGCTCTTATAAAGTGAGTAACAGAACTTAAGATACTTTAATGCTTTGTATATGTTTTGAAATGGTTAAATTGATGCTTAGATATCCTGACCTGTTGATATCAACCCAGGGTCTTACAAATTATTTCATCAATAATAAAGTTCCCTTTGATTGTTAATCTCCTTGTACTTTTTAGAGCTTAGTTATACGGTAATTCAATTGCGGCTGAAACAGGCTGGCTGACTGGCTTCAGGAAGTACAAATCATGTATGGATCAAATTGCAAGGCTACACTACGCATCATCATATTGCAGAGTATAGAATGGCAGTCAACTCTCTACATCAATTTCATCGACTCTGAAAAAGCATTTGACAGCGTCGATCGAGAAGTAATTTGACAGGCAGCTGCTTCAACATTACAGCTTTAGTGCCACAAATCTTTATCAACCTCATTCAGCAGCTAAATGACAACGCCACATGCCAATTAATTCACAATGGGAAGCTCAGTGATGTCTTTGAAGTGAAGACAGTGGACAGGAGTAAGACAAGGCTGACGCCTACTATCACCATGATCTTCGTGATTGTGGTCAACTGGATTATACAGCAAACTATGAGGAGCGAGAAGATGAGCATACGCCGGCTGGACCGGTGAAAAGAGCCTAGAAGATTTGAATTTCAGCGGTGATAATTAATATGTAATGTCACACAAACTCGAAGATATACAGGCAAAAACTAACGAATTGAAAGAAGGGGTAGCTAAGACGGGGCGTCAAGTGAATGTAGAGAAGACAGAGGTGATGAAGATACTCAACCAACAACAGCATCAACAACAAGCACCAATCATTATTAACGGGAGAAACCTAAAAGATGTAGTCTCTTTCACCTACCTACGCAGCATCGTTTCAACTACGGAGGGTGGCGGCAGAGACGAGGATGTCAAAACCAAGGTCTGAAAGACAGAAAGACAGACTTTCATTAATCTGAAATCGGTATGGAGATCTACTACAATCAGCATACAGCGTGAACAACATTTACATTTCCAATACCAATATCAAGTCAGTGCTGCTATGTGATGGTTCGGAAACTTGGCTTGTCACGAAAAGCACTTCCAACAAACTACAGACATTCGTCAACAGATGTCACCCACGCTCACTCGACACTGAAGATCAGATAAGGTGGCCAGAAAGAATAAGCAAGGAGGAAATCTAGGAACGAACCAACGATGCAAGACCTATCACCCAACGAATATGGAGGAGAAAAAATGGAGATTGATTGGGCAGGCAGTGAGAAGGCCGATCGGGAACATCATGCACCAGGCCAGACCCTTGAGTGGAATCCAAATGGGAAACGATGAGTTGGACGTCCGAGGTGAGGGTGACATGGAGGAGATGGTGTAAGGAAGAAATGAAAGCTTGTGGGGAGGGTTGTAGGGAGGTTGAAACGACTGGAGAGAAGAGAGTGGAATGGAGGCTTCCTACTGAAGCCGTATGTTCCACTAGGAACCCAAAGGGAAAATAATAATATACCGCAATTCAGTTCACAGGGTTAGTTCCAGCAAGTGAATTATTAAGCCTTAGCTGTTCAAATGAAAAAGGATACTGAAGAATACTTAAGTAATAAAATAAAAAGATACATTTTTAGATACATTTTATTCCACTTGAGGAATACTATGCCTTTTTTACACATGATTACGTGCAGGTGATTTCCAAGTGATAAAAATGTATCACTGAGAGATATCAAGCTCAAATTTCTCCGTACAAATTCCTTCTCCCTTAAATTGATCTCTGAATAAGGAGAATGCTGTTTATCTGGTTACAACTTGAAATCACAAACAAAACAGCAAATCTATAGCTACTAGTAGACTTAGTATAAATGATAGAGAAATTGTTTTTTTAAAGTGTTTCGAAAGAGTTGAAGATTAAACATTGAAAATTGTTGGCTATTCAAGTTTTAGTACATTGATTATGCGACTTATTATATAGTAAGATTATGTTAACATCAGACGGTCAACAAAACGAACAAATACTCAAAATAAGCAAAATAAATATTTAAAAAATAATGTTTGTTTACTGATGGGTGAAGAAATGAGTACAAGCTTATCTTATGCAAGCAAATAAATTCCACTCAGTATACATATATACATATTACTAAAACTTCCTTTGAATTCATCTTTGTATCTTTTGCTGGAAGTGATTCCTTATCTCGAACAGGTAGGTCAATACATATAATGTAACTAAGTGATAAAATCCAATGTTTATGACTGTATAGAACACTTAATAATTTGTAAAAGTTAAATAAATTATAATTTCTAGAAGCATATTGTTAATTGAGTTGAACACACCGTCTTAGAACAATAATCTATTCAGAACTGCTGCTTCAGTTCTAATCTAGACTTTTTTTCAAAGGTCTATTATTAGTTATTATTTTTCTCTTAGGTTTCTAGTGGACTTCTGTAGCACGTCTCCACTGCACTCTGTTCTCTGAAGTCTTTTCAATCTGGCGCCACAACTGCCCACAGGCTTTCATTTCTTCCTCACATGATCTCCTACATGTCACCCTCAGCTCAGACGCCCAACTCATTGTTTACCGTTTGGATTCCATTCGACGACCTGGCCTGGCACGTGATGTCCCCAATCGGCCTTCTCAGTGTATAGCTCTATCAATCTCCACTCTCTACTGCATATTTATTGACAGATAAGTTCTTGCTTCGTTGGTTCGTTCCCAGAGTTCTTTGCTACTAATTCTTCCTGGTTATCTGGTAGACTTTCAGTACCGAGTGACCGTAGGTGGCGGCTGTTGATGAATATATGTAGATTGTTGTAAATGCTTTCGTGACGCGCCAAGTTCCTGAACCATCATACAGCAGCACAGACTGAATTATTGTGCTGATATAACATATTTCTATGTATGAAATATACCCATAGTGGTTTCAAGGAAGAACAAGTAAAAATTTCACCAAAAAGTCTATTTTCAGCGATTTCAATTCCAAAGTTGTACAATAGTAAATTTATACATTTTTTTCTAGCGTAAGGATCTGACAGTTAAAAACGGTTTGTTAAGCATGGCAACAAAAATAGTGCAATAAATGAGCTATCATTAAAATAAACAAAAAACGAAAAAACTGATGACTAGTGAATGCTAATCAAAATAAGTTTGAACAAGAACTTTGGAAAGTGAATTGTGATCAGGTAGCACATAGCAACAAAAATGAGTAGCAAATTGTTTTAGAAGTCAACAGTCTCGAAAGAAAAAGATGAGAAGAAAAAAAGGAGGGGAGTAGAGGAGAATAAAAATGAAGACCATGAAATGAGAAGGGATTGAACAGTCTTCCTTTTTGTACACAGTTCAGGCTTCTCCATTTGGATGGTAAGATTTTCGGCGATGCAGGGAATATGAAAACATACAGTCTGAACCGAAACCTCGCAAACAGAACCTTACCACCGTGTCAAAAAGATACTGTGTGTGAATTTCAACTTGAGAGGTAGTTCTGTTGCTGACACTCTGAAAAGGAGATATCAAACCCTCTAAGGGGAACATTCTTTGCATCAACGTTGAGACTAGTATTCTCTTGTAGCTTAACCATCTCTAACAAGTCAAAGAAGAAACTTCCACATCTGAGCACTTTTATGTGCATGCATCAATTCATCTGCTATTACGGAGCCAGGTATATAGGTCGTTTGACACGACTGTTATCCTAAAAGCTTCGAGAGCACTATCCCATCTGATTACAAAGAGGTAACAATGAAGCGATAAGGAGTGCTATATATGAACACATCGTGAGCATAAATCACCCTATCTCAAACGTCATTTATGAAGTGTAAAGAGACCTCCCAAAGGCAGTATGTCTTCGTATTCGCTGCATCGCCGAAGATCTTGCCATCCACCCTGAACTGTGTACACAAAAGAAGATTGTTCAATCGCTTCTCCTTTCATGGTCTTGCTTTTCAGTCTTCTCTACACCCCCTTCTTCTTCCTTTCCATCTTTTTGTTTCGAAACTATTGACTTCTAAAGAAATTTCCTACTCATTTTTGTTGCTATATTCTGCCTAATCACAATTCAGTTTCCAAACTTTATTTCTGCTTTTATTCAATGATGGTTCATTTCTAAATAAGGAAGTATATTATTACAAACTTTAATTACCCGTGTAGCAAGATGAACATAATATCAGTGAGTTTACCAGCGACTAAAAGCTGAGCTCTTTCACTTGTGGAAAATTTCCTCAGAGGAGATTTTAAACGTATACTTATGGAATATGCATAGAAACAAATTACAATCTATTGCGCTTGTATTACATTGAACAGCATGCCTTATATTTAAGGGGTGCTCAAACATTTTTCATTAAGTATCATGTAAGTTAAATACTTCAGACCACTTCTTTCTTCTATGTATTGAACAATTTTGCAGAAAACCTTGGTTATCCAGTCCATCAAAGGGGAATATAGAAAACAAAGAACTGTGAAGTGTAACGAAATTCAAAATCTGTTTCACTGAATATCTGGTAGAAAATAAATATGTGCAACTGTGTATCGAATTAGGGTGACCTTCTCCGTTTAACAAGAGTTTCATTTGACGAATGGCATTCTATACGAGCAGGTTGACGAGTATTACGATACAGTTAGAACATCTGTACTGTAGGTCACACAACCCGAGGTTATCATTATCGGCTTTATGAGAATGAACCCTGTTCATATATTTAAGAGCATAAGCTGTATATTGGTGGTATCTTGATGGAAATGACCTGTGTAGTTAATCAAACATGGAATCAGAGATAAGTTTTGACTAACCTTGCCTGGTTAACTAGTTCACTAGTTACTAGTCGGTCCTAAGCCTGGGTAAACAGGGAAGGTTGGGTAACCCTACCACGGAAAACCGATCCAATCGTTAAAGAGACCTCAAAACACAAAGAAAATATGAAAAATAAAAATAAACTTATTCCTCGGTGGAATTGGAGAGACGAAATGACGCCGGTTTGTGAAAGCCTTCGAGAAGCCAACTGGCCAATGTGTCTTCTCTTCATGAAAGCAAAAGTAAGAATGGGGACATGGAATGTGCTCACCATCTATGAATCTAGCAAGGCTGCCCAGATTGCAAAGAAATCAAAATATATGGCATGGATGTATTAGGCTAGGAATCAACGAGGAATCTGCAGATGGAATGGAAGTGGACTCTCCAAACTCTTAACTGGAGAGTCAGTAATCTACTTCGATATTGTCACCCAGACGAAAACCACGAGCACACCTAGGGAGTGGCTATTATGATTTCCCCAAGAACATCGAAGGCTCTCATGCAGTGGGAACCAGTCTCCTCCAGGATCAGGATCATGACAGCAAGATTCAACTCGAAAGGAAGGAAAGTCACAAGCATTCAATGCTACACTACGCACCTACAAATAATGCATGTGAAGCGAAGAAGGAGGAATTCTATAGACAACTGCAATCAGTACTAGATAAGACTCCAGTTGGCGACATCAAAATTCACTCTAATAGGTGGAGTAACATGAATGCCGACCTGGAAGCGAACAACACAGGAAGAGAACTGATCATGAGTCGAGAAGCACTCGGTGAAATGATGAATGAGAAAGGAGAACTGTTTGCAGATATCTGCACATTCAACGATTTGGTGATTGGAGGCAGTGTGTGCAAACACAAGGATATTGACAAAGCGAGCGACATGGATTTGATTTCACCAGATGGACAGACTACACTAAAAGTCAGATTGACTTTGTCTCAATGTGAAGAAAATGGAGAGATAGCCAGCCTACTGGACACAAAATCAAGCAGATGTAGGTTCAGACCACAATGGAGACGTGCTACTGAATCCCCATGTTCCACTAGGAAACCAAGGGACAAATAATAATAATAATAATAATAATAATAATAATAATAATATACTGATAAGTTTTCACTACATAACAATACAGTGGTGGTGCTAAGTATAAAGTTTAGACTGTAATGTTGGAACCTTGATGATTACACTCAACAGTCTTTCTTGAAAGTTTTGCAAAGATTTTACTACTTTGATAAGGATTAATAGATTATTTTCGATATTCAGTTCGTTATGATGCAGTTGATTATTTTCTCATATTCTTTTTCTTATCACATTCTCATAACTAGACTTTTGAATGATTATGCAACTTTGTTCTTTCACCTAATTTAAAATATCTACCATTACGTATACGGTGTACCGTATACTACGCTATATTACAAGTTTTTTAGCTCACACTTTGTTGTATTCCGCTCTTATTTGACCTTTTTTGAGGTAATGCTCAAAATTAGTGATAGAATATTCCATTCAGTCTATTACAGAACTGATGGAAACTTATTACACTTTTTATAATCAAGAAGCGATTTTTCAAAGCGTCATTTGAAAACACTGTTTTGAACCACACTATTAATAATGTGACTTAGTGTGTCAAGTTCTGCGGTAGTGAAAACCTTTTTCTAAGCTTCAGTAGTATATCCTCTACCCAGTTTGAGAAACGAAGAAGAGAAAAAGAAAGACTAAGTGATAATGCTGGTGCTCAACGATTGAACATTTCATTGAGGTTGGAAATTAAACATCTGAGTGTACTATATAACCAGAAACTTGTGTCAACCAAAGGCTATTCCAGCATATGGAGACTTTCTAAATAACTCATTGGTAGTGAACACCTTAGTAAAGAAGCAAATGTTGACGTCTGTACCTTGAACAAATCGTTTATGCTTCAACCCACTTATCCAATCACACTTTGTCTACCTAAGTCCAATTAACCAAGTCGTACAGAATTCACCCAGAAAGATTTTTTCAAATGTCTCAAATCCCTGAACCCACCTCACAGTTCAGGTCCGGACAGCTTATCAAGCATCGTATTCACGCAGAGTGCCGATATTTTATGCCATCCATCAGCTAACATGTTCATCTGATCGTTTTTAGAAATCACTATACCAGCTGCCTGCAAACATATGAAGATAGTCACCATACGTAAGTGAGGCACTCACGGTGGATGTACGAAACTCCGTCCAATTGCACTTACCTATCCGTCCTTAAAACTAATGCAGAAGTTAATAATACATGTGCTCCAGCCCTCATTGAAGGCTATCGGAGATCCAAATCAATTTGCATGTAGAAGCAGAGGAAGCACACTGGATGTCATCACTCTCTTATATCACAATATCACTTATAGTGCTGATAAAAATGTCGAGTATGTCAGGTGTGCCATTTTGGACTATA